CCTCAACCGGTCTCTTGATGATTGGACACTTTCCGGACCTACAAGCAGTTGCAACCTGATATCGAGACAATCTTCCGTTCGGGCGGAATACAAGCTCAAGTATATTGACTCACAAAACGCCACGTGGAAGGAGCTGTAAATGTTGCTGCATCGAAATCTTAGAGAGGTTCGTCTTGAAGATGTGAATGTCACCGATGGCCTCCATTCGAGTGCTCCTCCCGGGCCGAGAAAGTGGGATTGAAAGGGCGAGAGGGAGAGAGATTTTATGAAATTTTGACGAAAACTGGTTTGATTTCTCTGATGATGTCAATCAGTGCATGACAAGCAAAAACTAACCACGAAACGATCAGATTCGAAGTAGATTTCCAACAGGAGGTTTAGTAAGTTTAGGTGAATTGCTCCACGATAAGAAGGACAGTCCTTGTGGTACAAGTAAATCTCAACCTTTTCTTGTTCCGCAACGGGGATTTTCATTCCAGCCGGGCTGGACTGTTCTACTCTTTTGAACCTTAACGGGAATCGAGCCCGAGCTGTGTAGCGCATAATCTCGATTTGCTATCGTTACGTTAGACTACCGCGAGGGAAAGACGGTCGCAGGGCCAAAGTGAATTTTAAGGTAAACAAAGCTTCTTCTATATTGCAGACTTTAGAGTGGAATTGTTGATAATGCTACTTGTATTTGAAGTAAGTAGTACTTTGAGATCCATATTTCACTACCACCTGAAAGGTCCATTGACATGAAACCATCGCGGAATAGGTTCGGGCTGCTAGTTCAGTCTTCGTTGTAGCTGTCCTATTTGGGCCTGCTGTGCTCATAACTCCTCGAAGGCTACCGAAAATTGAGTTTATTCCGAGTTTATAATCGTGCCAGGCAACATTTTCTCTGCACTTTTCGAGGAAATCCAACACATTTCTCTAGCAACAACAGTTCGGCGTGAACTCGAGTCCAAGTCCCGTTCGGCCGGTCTACACAATGACAGACAGACTGACGTATTTTGGCAAGTGTGTACCACTTTGCCTCAGTCGCAGCTTCCTTTGGTCCCCTCCAGTCAGCCGGTCGGTGTGAACCTGTTGATTTGGTCGAGTCGAGGCAAGCGGAATGACACCTTTCAGGCGCACATGCGGGCCATGCATGTGGTCGCTTGAGCTCTCGAATCGGCCGGTCCGGCTCAAAGTTGTCAGAATTCGGTCGCTCGAGGCCAGTTCCCCTTTGGCTGGCTCATCCTCGACAAGTTGGCCGACACGTCGCGCCTTCACGTGACTGCAGCTAACGGAAACCGGCCGTTTGGTAGGCAAAACCAGTCAGTCGCCGGGACCATTGAGCCGTCATGACAGCCGTTGAGGAGGAGGAGGGGAGGGCAATCATGAGTCTCGGTTGAATCCTACAATACTGCCAACTTGTCCGGCGTGGGGATACGTAGACTGGGGGTCGCATTTGACGACGCTTTTACTCAATTTTCATCCGAATAGCCCAAAATGTAAACGTAACAACGGCTGGAGTCGTCTTCGCGGCCAAATTCACAACTTCCAAAGAAGTATTCCTCGAGTCCATCAAGGAACAGAAAATGTGCACAATCGGGAATGCGTGTAGGTATGCAGGAAATGACAAGAAAAGGTGAAAGATTGATCAACCGAATAGCACAAAAGGGCAGTTATTACGACAAATTAAAGTGTATTCTTGATACATATATTTGCAAAATGGAAGTTGGCAGCGATAGAGGATACAGAGAGACATTAAGCAAATTTCAA